AACCTTCAGGGGGTACCGGCTTCCCCTGTGCTCAGCCGCTGACAGCTGTCATATTTATGTATGTACTATGATCATGACTTGATTGTTATTGCAGTCGGTAGAAAAAAGAACTGCACAGTAGACTTGGGAATATTTGATTTTTGCTCTAAAATATTCTAATCTATTATCTAACGAGGCATGTACCTTTGCAGTCTCGAAAGATGAAAACAATGAAAAAAGTACTACTATTCCCAATACGAATCCCAGCCAGTGGTATCAATTCCAGACCCAGATTACCTCTGAGTCTTCTCGCCCACTTCAGTCAACCCGACAAAATTATTATACTCGCATGAACACCCTCCATTCCCACCGTCCATGCCCCCAAAGGCCGGGTTGAACTTGTTCGCCGGGTTAATCTGGACCCCGTTCCTGTCCATGAAATTCAGGACAAACTTGGAATCCTTCATGACGATGCGTCTATCCACCACGCCCCGAGAAAAGGCAAACTTCAGCCCGGGAATGCCCCCGTGGGTGTCCAAGGTCACCGTCGTTGGGTAGGGGAACGTCCCTGGGTGGGTGGCATTGTTGTTTGACACGCCACCGTTCATCAACCGGGTCGTGTTCTCCCTACGCGTCCAGATCTCTACCTTGAAGCGGGCAGACAGGAACGTGACGAGAAACTTGGCTTCTGTTTCTAGGGCTCCGCCGTTCTCGTCGCCCGACGGACCATCGGTACTGTTGAGATTTGGTGGGTTGACGGCCGTGGCATAGATGGTCTTGTTGTAGTACGTGTAGAAGCCGTATCGCTCGGTCGGCAGCCCGCGGTCGTAGAGACGGAGTGGCTGCTGCTTGGCAAACGGGTACAGCAAGGCTGGTGCACCGGTTCCATCTGGGTTGAGCACCGGCGGTGGTGGCTCGAACTCGGAGATGTTCACAGGTTTGCCGGGACCGGAGCCCGTCTCACTTTGACGGCGAGTGAGGACATTGGCACCGACCGAATCTTGGACCGACTCAAGGACGCTGATATAGAACGGCGTGGGTTCTCCGGCTTTATCGTCGGACACTACATTGTCGGTTGTGTTTCCGAGGAAGAACATGTCCTGAAAGTTGGGGGGAGCAGGCTCCGGATTGAACCCGAGGCTGGATGCACCGCCTGTCTGTCGGCCTTTGATGAGTCTGCGCAAAAACGGGACCATGCCAAGCGCCTCGCCGCGGGCCTGTGGACGGCTTGTCTGGGAAGCAGGTACCGGCAAAGGACGTTGCTGCCCAGTGACGTCCCATGTGTTCCGCGTGTTGTTGTCAAACTGAATTTGGAAGACGAACGTCGGCCTGTCGGAACCGAACGGCGCCGCCGAGACGGCCCTTTCCTTGGGCAGCGAGCAACTCCAGAGTGTTGAAGGCTGCACACAAGCCGAAGTTCCATCGGTATTAGGGCCAACTATGGTTGCGACCCCAGTCGGGATAGGAGGGAAGTCGGTGAGGTTGAGGAAGGGCGAATAGGGGGTAGCCTCAACGCTACGTCGAGTCAATGTGACGCCAAGAACAACAGCGAGAATGATCAGACCCAGTATGACGCCGCAGATGCTAAAGCACCACACCCGCCTGCGCTTCCGACCCTCGCGTCCAGATCTTCCAAAGCACCCGCTTTCAGGAATACAGCCGCGACCTCTCCAGAGTCCCCCGACTTTCCTCGCCGCGACCTCCTCTTTCTCGTGGCGCCGCCGCTTCCGCTCCGCCTTTTGTCTCGGACCGCGCCCCGATGCATCTGGGTAGTGATCGCCTGGTCCAAAGGTGCCGGGCGGTGGAGTGGGGAGAGTGATAATGTGGCGAGGATTGTGGACTGCCGCAGCAGTTGGTGTCAACGGAACATTAGTGAGGCTGATAGCCCCTTGCGATGTCATAGTACCGGCGATACCGGGAGAGACTGGACCAGGCGATGGTGGATATAGCGTGGCCAAGGGGTGGCCAGGCGGAAGAACAGCGCGGTAACGGACTGGGAGAGGGAGATTTTTGGGAGGTGAATACGGAGGCGGTGCGGCGGCGGTGAGCGGTGTCTGCAGTCGCGGAGTTAGAGTTGCCATCTTATCGGCCCGTGGCGTGGGCTGCGCTGAAGCCATTTGGGTCCGAGGGGGCGAGTCAGATCGCGCAGAAACATGCTCGATGATGATACTGGGCGGCCTTGCTCTCCCTGCACTCGCTGTAGTATTTTGCTGTCGGGGCATCGCAGTCTCTTTCCTGTCCTCCTCCTTCCACCACGCGTTGCTGCGCTCTGATTCGGGAGTCTTGACAACAGGTGAGCTCGTCTTCGCTGGGCTTTTTGGTCCAAACGGCGATGTGACCTGGTCCCACCAGCCCTGTGACCGTGACCGCGAGACCAGAGTAGACCTTCTTTGTCCTCTTGTTCTGAACGATTTTTGTCGAGAGCTGACAGGAGTGATGCCGTCTTCTTCGAAGAGGGTCACGGGTGTGTCCATGTCGTCTTCCTCGTCACTGACCATGATATCTGTCGTTCTCGTATCTCGCCTGTTTCTTGTAACCTTTGAGTTGGGCGCCTCATACTCATCATCGCTGACATAGATGGATGTTGCGCGGGTGTCTCTCTGGTTCCTCAACTTGGATGGACCTATCCTGCTGATTTGACTCTCGGGGGAAACGACGCCATCACTGTCCGGTGACCAAACAGAAACTGGGAGTTGGGATGCTTTGGGAGGAGCCTGAGCCTGCTGGACTGGCTTCTTGAAATATTTTTGATAGTCCACGGGCGTCTCGACGACGGCTGTCTGTGGGCTGATGACAACGTCGGAGCCTTCTGGCATGGCAAAGCCGATCATGATGGGTCCAGATATCGGTGACACGTCGGCTTGAGAAGGCACTTCGGCCTTTAGTAAGTCGAGACGTTTGTTCCGTGGAGGCTGCGCCTGTTTCTTCTTTTGGGACCAGGCCGGGTCGCCTGCCGGCAAACCCTCGAGGGCATTGAGGGCGGCAGGATCAACATATCTGCCCGTCCTGCTTCTCCTACTTGGGTTTGACCGGCTGGGGGCTTGTTGCTGCTGCTGCCGGAGGACAGTCATGTCCGTCACCAACTTGATACCGGCTTTGGCATTTTGAGCCTTTTGTCTCTGACGGGACTTTAGTCGCTTGATGGACTGGCGTGTGGCCGTTATGGGGCTTGATCTGGGTGATGAATTTCCTGCAGGTGGGCTGAGGAGAGGCCCATCGCCATCTTCAAAAGGTGTCGTTACCTCGTCATCTTCCCAGTCTTCCCAATCTTCCCTGGGGTTTCCGCGTGATGAATACGGCGACCCTCTCTGGGCCGTCCGTAGCCCACTCATATCCGACGATGTGGTGTCTGTCTGGCGGCAGATATTGACGATGGACAGATGTGTCTTTCGTGTATGGGATAAGTTGCGTCGATCTTGCACCAAGTAGTCCGTTATAGTCGAGGTAAGGCGAGGAGATCGGGTAGGGCCATGAACGAGAGAAGAGCGTCTATCGTGTGTGTGAACAAGGAAGAGAGCCCAGAATAGTGGAACAAGATAAAGAAGAGAGAGCCCAAGTTGGTGGTGTTGGGCAGACCAGCCAGGAGGGAGATGAGCAGCTGGATGGACAATATACAATAGAACGAGACTCGAAGCACAATAGGAGACGTTGGATTCTTTCGTCCGATGTATCAATGGAGAGGGTGACGCGCGACCTCTCTCGCAAACAATAGGAACGGGGCCAAAGTGAATGTGCAGGTGAAAAGAGAGAACAATGCAATGGCATCCCAGGGAACTGAATGAGATCACCGAACCCTCGACCTCAAACAAGACGTGCGTGTACTAGAATCGGAAACCCCCCGTTCCTGACGCAAGAAGAACAACAAGGAGAGCAGCTGGCCAGCGCATGATGGGCTGCCTGCCTACCTTTACGTCTAGTATGAGTCTCGGTGCTCACATGAGCTTCAACTCGAGGTGGAGCTCCCATCATCTCGGCTTGTTATTCGCTTCATTCCCTCATCCCCCAATTGCTGCCGTCGTCTGAGACGCTGCATCGTGAGTGGCTGGCCAGGAAGTCGACTTGCGCCCGAGTCGCCCGACCCCTTGTCTTCGCGGCAACCATTGTCGTCAAGCAACACGGTCTCTGTGGACTGACAAAGGTCTCTTGTCGTCGTAGCGCGGTCTTTGGCGCAGTTTGGGTATGAAATAAGCGCCGTCATTGTCCTTCACCCCACGGGACTGGCTGCACAGCAAATGACCCCTTGTAATGAGCCCCTCGCTGATTGGCTGCCTGCCCTCGTCGCTTTCCCAGCAGCCGCCACTGGCCGACAACACCTCCAGTCAATCCTTCCTCGTCGCTTCCGCACGGAACATCGGCTCGACTTGACGGCCTTGCCCTCACGGGTACAACAGCTGTCATGTCGTTCACGGACTCACGGTGTCTCTGGAAGGATTGTAACGCACCTGGATGCTAGTGTTGAACAAGAAATGATTTCAGCCTCCAAATCCTTCAGACACCCGAGGTCGGGACGGCGGCAACACACAAGCCAAGGAGACCTTTTGCAGACGAAATCTCGGAGCTTTCGATCGATGGGCGCGTCGAACGATCCAATAAATATCTGGCAGGCATTTCGCATAGTGGCCGACGTCAACGGCCGTTTCAGCCGGCCTGGTTTTGCATTCTCGATCCGTGGAACAGTATTTGGAACCCCGCGACGCTACGGAGAGAACCTACTGCAGCATCCCAATAACTGAAGGCAAAGGACCGTCGAAACACAGACCCATTGCAACCGGCTGCCTCTTGTGAGTTGGAAGTGTTCGCCAACAAGTAGAAATATCAGACACACTGCGATTTGCTTGAGAGGTATACTCTCACGACCAAAGTCTTGTGCCGGATTTGGGGCAGCTCAAATGTAGTGTGCTGCGAGACCAGGAGCTTGACCAGTCACCCCACCCCGGGCCGACAGGCATCGGCGGATATCCACACTGAACTTTATAAACTCCAGTGCGGTGGATTGAAATCACACAAGAATCCAGTCAAATGGTTGTGTAGTGTAGTGGTTATCACTTCAGATTTTGAGTTAAGATGTCTACCTTCTCTCCCAAGAAAAGGAAAAACATTGTCTCTCATACCTTCTGATAACCCCGGTTCGAACCCGGGCACGACCTAATTTTTAAATGCCCTCGTTCATTTTTGGTGACGCTTGGTATTGCGTTTCTCTTTTTTACTTTTCGGCTCTGAATAGTCACCGCTAAATTGAAAACTCACTGCAGTTTCGCAACTCATTTGCATCATCTCGTTCCCAAAGAGCTTCATGAAGGATGAGATGCAGATCGCTGTGCCAATTGGAGCGATCCGATCCATCTGTGAGGGTGCCCGTCTTCCAACTTTGCCAAGCTTCGTGCCAAGGTTTGCCAAGATCTCGACATCAACGACATCCCATTATCCAAGGGCCTCCTGTTGTGTAAGTGGTAGGAAGCTGTTAGGGACCGCAAACGAAGAGGTGAAGCATACCACGTGGAGGTGCGAAATACACATAAAAACTGTAATCATTTAGATGGTAAGATTGCCTACTTTCAGACACTCGAATTTGAACAGGATCAGGCTTGCGTGAATTGAGAAGAAACGAACATCGCTCGCAGAACACTAAACACTAACATCCCATCCCCGTCAAGAAAAGACATATCGTCATCATGATCGCCATCCACAACACCACCAAGAATCGAATTACTATCATAGTTGTACGATCACGTATTGGTCTCATCTTCCATCGTGCAGTTTGTCCCTGAGTCATAAGTATTGGCTAAATGATTGGAAAGAGTCTGCCCCGGTGGAAAAAAGAATTGACCATGAAGTGATCGCTGCTGTGGACGGCATCGAACGTCTAACAGCAGGCACATTCTTCCGAACAGCCGCAGCAGCCGCACTCCTCAAAGAAACCACCGCGCATTGAGACATCGCTGGTCAATTCAGGTTGAGGTTCGGCAGACTAATGAAAAGCTCATATATCAGTTCTACGGTCGAGTTGTGTTGTGCTGTAGGTGTTTCACTGGACTTGGGGGGGAGCTCACTGGCTGTTTGGACACAACGGTTTCGAGAGGAATGGCCTCCATGGGCTTCTGCTGTTGTGGGATTTCGACGGAAGGCATTTTGAGTAATTCGGTTTCTTGTAACGATTACAATGAGGGTTGGTTCGGCTTATAGGAGAATTTCTCAAATACTGGAACGTGGAGGGAAAGATGTCTCAAGCGAAATATAGGACAAGTTTGGCCAGTGAGGTCTGGGGAAATACCAAGCGGAGAGAGGGGAAAGGCGTCGGGGTCCTTTTATCTGTTGCGAGTATTTGAGTTGGCAGCTGCGGCCTAGGACTCATAAGTTGGTAGAGGGGCCAATGAAGGCAGGCACTTTCAAGGCACGGCTGGGTGCTGACCGGAGTAGGTATAACCATAGCAGAAATCGCGCTATCTGTACATTCTTTCTCACGGGAGGCCTGACTTGTTGAAAAGGATGGCGGGAATAACTTCCCCCATTGTCTGTACTTCCGTGACAAGCAGAAGCTACATGTAAATGGCTTGAGGGTCTTTGGCTTTCCGTGATTGGGCAAGGCAAGCCCAACACACTCCGACGAAGTGCATGATCTGAATGGTAATGAACTTGACGGCATTCTCCTCTCCATCATCAGCCGTATTCCGGCCTTCATCACACCACCTTCCTACATGTATTTGGGGGCATGAAGTCGCAGTAGGACCTCGGTATTTTTGTACGACCGGTCATCGCCTAAACCCCATGAATTGAGCGACGTGCTACATGATTCCGAGAATTCCATCTGGGATGCATAAGCGGTGTGCCCATCTGAGTGCTATCGGAGCATCTGGTCATGCTGTGAGAGACAACAGAGGATAGCTAAGATCAAGAGTGAGAGCTCATTCACAGCGAGCGAATAATCGCAGTGCATATTTACTGAGACCCTTGCCTTAGGTCCAATTAGAGACGAGATATCGCCCATCCTTGCCACCAGACATACCACTACTCTCTAGTAATCAACTTGTCCTGATTTGCAAATACAGAAAGGGGACGAATCTCAAAGGGCAACGTCAACCACACCAAAAATATATTGCCAGATTGGACCCTGAATATCCAAGGCTATGACGTCGAACACACCCAAGCTCATCGGCGTTGCTTGGGACATCATTCCCACGGGGTTTAGGCGGCTTCAAATTTGCTGTGGTTGACTGTGATCACTCAGCACAATGTAATGTTCTGGTGTGTCAGCAGCTCAACATGCAGAAGTAATTCGTATCTACAACGTTCAGACTCACCATACGGAGTCTGCATGGTAGCTGTTATAGAATATGACGTAATGAGACTCATAAAAAGGGATATTCAACTGACAGCCAGCCAATCTTTGGATATCAATACGCGTGTATGATTCCTGTCGTTTATGAGAGGCATTCCGAGAAGATATAAGACGATTGAGTTGTAATCGTACAATACCAGGGTGTAATCGTACAATACCAGGGTGTAATCGGCATATATTTCAGAAAAGACACATTCATGAGAAAGGCAAATTGCTGACTCAGGAAGCCATATCAAATTGCAATTCCCTGTTCCGTCAATCTTCACGGATCGTGTAAGTCCAGCAACTCCAAAAGCAACCGTCGACACGATCTCGAGGAGCAGATACGGTGGACGTACGGAGGACGTATCAAGCGTTTTTTCTCCCTTTGGCACACGTGGGTCAGGCCAGTGTTTTATGTGGTTTTCTCGAAGACGATTGCGAACGTTCTAGCCCTTCCCTGTCGGATATCGGTACCGTTCCTACGACGGTTAGAGGACAAGGGTGTGAAGCTCTCTGAAATGAGCCCCACCGATCATAAACCAACCCCCGACTTTTGTTTTCACCATTGTCTTCAAACCAAGCTGATTTTAGTTCCTGGTCTCCAGAAGCCTTGATCGCGCTATCATAACTCCTTGAACGGCTCAGGCACGTTGATGTTCTTTGGCATATTTCTGCGGCATTTTTTGAAGTCATGAGGCTGTCAACGCTCAGCCGACACACTGCACCACGATCTGATTATTTTTGGGTAACCGCCATCAAGCCAGCAGTTCGATTTACTAACGCCAAGATCTACGCCAAGATAACCCCCTTTCCCATCTGCAACGGGGGCGAATCGCTCCATTGGGCAAGATCTCCAGGCGATTTGATGAGCCAGCTTGCAAGTGCTCATCAGCCGAAAGTCAACAGACAAATAAGATCTCCAGCCTCTCAACACCCGGCCACCTTTGGTGGTTTGCAGTGAAGAACTTGCCAATAGAACAAGGGGCTCGTAAATCCGCCGACTCTTATCATCTTATGGCTCGTCATACCTGTACAGTACTCGTCTGGTACGGATAGCTACAGTAGCATACCTACTTTACGGATACTCGTGGTTAATACAGCAGACAAGCACCCCTGGACTAGTAGTTAGCAACTAAAGTACAGTACGCAGTAGCGCGAGCTCACTGCCGGGGACTGGGAGATGCGGTGTCAAGAATCTTGATAGCGACAGTCTCCTGAGACCTGGGATGGTCGCCGGAACTAGTGATCGAAATCCTCGATAATACACTGGTCTTGTCTCTGTTTGGTGCTGGCTAATTACGTGCAGCAGAGAACTGCTGGTAATGAGGCATATCAAAATCTCCGCCCCTTTCATGATGCACAACGCCGGCTCCTGTTGTCGCGGCGAGGACGTCGTGCCTGAGCGCCACCGTGTTATCAGTCCGTGGCACAGGCATGGAGATTACAAGGATGCAATCTGCACTTGCAAATCTGGAGTCGCATCTCAGGGTTCTTGATGGCCCTGTGCGAAGTGGAAACCGAAGGGGGACTGGGGACGGGCTCGGCTGGCAAAGAACGGAGGCCAAACGGGAGATTCGATTTGTTGGGGGGAGTCTCGGCGTCTAAGAGGATAGGCAATGTCGAAATGGAAGAAATTTCGTACAGTACCAAGAGAGAAAGGGGGCTTTTGAAAAGGGGATGGAGTCGAGATGAAAAGTAGGGTAGTATGTTCATAATGCCTGCCATATCTCTTCATATCTGATAATTGTGATACCTGTAAACTATTTTGTCTTGGTCTTTTCATCTCGTCGTTTTTTTCATCTCCTGGCTCCTTGCTGCACGAATCACTCTCAAACCGACCTCAAATTCCTCCGTGCAACCTTCCAACTTGGAACCACCAAAACACCCGACATTTCGATCCGGCACCTATTATTACCTACAGCGCCTCTGTACTGTCCTCCCCAGCAGCTAAACCAAGATCTTTTCTCCAGTGCTGCAGCGGCACAAGACCCACACCATATTTCAACTGCAACAGACCGCCCCGCCACGGATACTCAACATTTGGCCTCATCTGGTTGGTCAATGATTGAGCCAACGAAGACGTCCTGCGACCTTGCGAAATTGAACCGATACAGAAGAGCAACTCGAAACTCGATTTTAGATTGACGCTTTTCCCAGATATCTACCGTTCTTCCCGACGGGCAGAGCCAGCACGGGTTGCGACAGGGGCCATAAAAGTTTTACTGTCTGGGTTTTTTTTCCTTCACTGGCGGTGTGCGACAGGACCATCTTAAAAAGCTCCCGTCTTGGTTATCGGCCGGCTCAATCGCCGGCTGTAATTTTTTATACGGACACGGATATCCTTCCATTGCAGCACGCAGTTATCCCCGGGATCCCCAAACCGATACGTAGGTGGGCGCCACACACCAAATCGGCCAACTGACCGACTTGTCCTACGTTGTCTTGTTCGACTTTCAGTCAGCCCTCTGCGCGACCTAGAAAGCTTGCCTTAGATCCCTTGTGAAGGAACCAAAGGGGCTCGAAAGCGCCCTTCTGGTCCCCTCCGCCGCAAGATTCACAAGCTGGCTTTCCTCACGGCAAACGGCTCTACGTCGTCGTCCTTCAGCGACCGACCGGTCCGCTCGCATCACCGAAGACGATCATCTGCAACCGTTACCGAACTCCGATTGGATAATAATCGCAGACCAAGTTCTTCGGCATATCTGGGGGTCCAGCCCCATCGGCCATCCATTCTCTCGCCTATTCCGGGTACGTGTCCTCCCTCATTGAACCTCGTGTTCCCACCGACAATGTCGTATGTAACGTGCGCATTTAGTATGGGCTGGTTGT